ATCAGTATCAGATCATGATTATTCAGTACCGGTATCAGTTTCAGTTTCAGTTTAGTATCAGTTCAGTTATATATGCCAGGATCATGATATTGTTATTATTTTCACTGTTTAATTTAGTATGAGTTTCTGCGGAGCACAGTGTTTTAGTGCTCACGCTCCCACGTATTTCATGTTTTTCAGGTCACAGGGTCGGGGACGAGGAGTGAGCTGACGTGCTGTTCAGGATATTTGTTTTGATATGTATATGTTATGTTTTGGCCACACTACTTTTCCGCTACCTTTTTCAGTATTTGAACTCAGTTTTTGATCCAACATTAGTCGGTTAAAATATTATGCCACCGTTTTACTATCGGTTTAAAATTAACGGTTTTTCATATTAAAGTCAGATTTTCACGGTAACACTCCGAATCAGTTTTCGCAATTAAAAAGAAACATTTTATTAAGTTTATTCAGAAAATTTGCGAAAAAGCGTACTCTGATTTCAATAAAATAGCGGGGTGTTACAATCTGCATCTGGAGTAGGATTTGGAGGCAACGAAAAAGGTATGTTAATAAAGTTAGAGTCATTTGTGGCACTACCGGAGGGTGAGTCTGGAACAAAAAAATTGTTAGTTGTAGGTAACCAAGAATCAAAAATATTATTCACACGATCAGTGTTAATTTTGAAAGGAATGCGGTCTTTATAAGAAAAACATAATTCGTCAAAGACCACATGCCGTGAGATATATATTTTTTTACTCGGTGGATGAAAACATTTGTAGCCTTTAAATTGATCACTATAACCTATAAAAACACAAGGAATGCTTTTAGGATGAAACTTATTTTTTCGAGTATCCCAAGTATACGGAAAGCATTTTGAACCAAAAACACGTAAAGAGCTATATGTGGGGTGAGTGCCATGTAATATGAGGTAAGGAGAATTAAATTAAGCGCGAAAGAGGGTAACCTATTAATGAAGTAAACAGCCATTGAGAATGCTTCTACCCATAGAGATAGAGGAGCACCACTGTGAAATAACATGGTCATGCTAATTCTCGAATCATGCGATGCCTCCATTCAACCATACCTGTTTGCTCAGGTGTATATGGACACGATTTATGATGAATAATACCAGAAGACAGAAAGTGTGTCGACAATCGTTTATTGACAAACTCGCCTCCACCATCAGAATGAAGTATTTTGATTTTTTTGTTAAATTGTCGATCAACATAACGTTCGAAGTTGATAAATGCATCAAAGAAATCAGATTTCAATCGTAAAGGAACAATCCATATGTATTTGGAAAAATCATCAACAAAGCATGCATAATAACGAAAGGAACCAAGAGATAAAACTGGAGCAGGACCCCATAAGTCGCAATGAATTTTTCAAAAAGATCACTACTTGAATGCTCAGAATTGCTAAAGGGAAATTTACTAAGTTTTCCTAGTTGACAACTATCACAAACGTGCTCATTTTTTGTTGGGCCTGTGACATGGATAAGGTTATTATTCTTGAGATTAAGTAAAGTAGAGTGTTGTGGATGTCCTAAATGCTGATGCCAAATATTAGATGAGCCAGACTTGAAACGATGAGAGAAATTTAACTCTGGTTGATTGGAAAGGACATAAAGATTTCCCTTACGCCTTCCTTTTATCAATGGTTGGCCTGTTTTCTTGTCCTTAACACAAAAATCTTTATCAGTAAATTCACAGTTGACAGGATATTCAGAAGTAAGTTGACTAACTGCTACAAATTGTTCTTTAGACTTGGAACATATAAAACATTATTTAACGATAAACTGAAGTTATGTTGATGAATTTCTGAATATCCAATTCCGTCAACAGGTAAGCATGAACAATCACCAATTAAAATAAAGTCTGATCCACAATTTTTTTGAAGGTTAGATAAAATACCTGACTTACCTGTCATATGGTTGGAAGCACCAGTATCAGACGTCCATTCATTATCAGCAACAGTAGTATCCAATGTGAGCGCAGCCAGTGTATGTGGTAAGTCATCTGACCCCTTTGACGGCTTTGTAATCCACCAACAAATTTTTGCAATATGCCCTGTTACACCACAATATTGGCACGTCTCATCTTGATAAAGACCTCTTTCAGTTTGCGACATACGTCGTTGAGGAGGTGGTGGTTTTTTTGGTTGAGGGCTGAATTTTCCAGAATGAGAGAGATTTTTTGGTTGTTGTGCTATAAAACCTCGTCCTAATGATGTGAACTTGGAGGGGCCTCCTTGACGTTTTTGGTGTTGTCCGAAGAAAGCCATTTGGGTATTAAATGAATTGATACTGATATCTGTGGTGTTCATCCAACTACGTCTTTGGTCAAAATATTGTAGTTGTGCCACTAGCTCAGTGTAAGTGGGCCGGGGAGGTTTTTCAACATAGTGGTAGTGAAATTTTCATATTGCGGGCCAAGGCTAGTGAGAAAGTAAAATACCTTCTCTTTGTCAAGAACATGTTTTCCAATGGCTGTTAAATTGTCACAATGACCTTTGAAAGTATGAATATGGTCTGCAATAGATTTGTCATCATTCTTTCGGAGATATGTAATTTGTTGCCTCAGTGTGAATTCTCTCTCTTGAGAGTCTTGTGCGTAGGCATCTTTGAGGGCTTCCCAGACACCGAACGCTGTATCTACTCCAATGACCAAGCCGAGTGCTTCTTCTGATAATGTACCAATCAGCCAACCCCGCAAAAGGCAGTCAGCTTTTTTCCAAGCGACGAACTCTTTTGTTAATTGTGGTGTGAATTGTTCGGCTTCTGAAGGGTTATTTGGAGTAGTAAATTTGGATGGTGCCGAGATTTCGTCTGTGAGATGTTCAACCAGCTCTTGGCTTTCAGCAAGGGCTAAAGCTTGTTCTCGCCATAGAGGGTAGTTTGTTGGAGTGAGTTTGAGTGTAATGAAGTTGCCGACGTTTAGAGATAAGGAATTCATGATTGGTTGGATTTTTTTTGGTGCTTGTGTTCACTGGCTCTGATACCAAGATAAAAGGGAAGGGGATGTCTCGAGAAAGAGATTTTTATTAAAGAAAATACAAAAGAACAATGAACACAACCTATCTTATTCCTAACTATACAAGGTCTCTTATAGAGATATGACCAACGGTAAAAAGATTACAAAGAAGGAATAAAATCATTCTAGAAAGGAAATATTATAATCAAGGATAGGATCTACTTGTTGCCTTTTATGATTCTTCCAGAACTTTATTTTGGGTAACAGAGGGCTGATCACAGCCTGATTTATTGGCCTTAATACGAATCTGCTCGATGTTTTCATACAAGTTTTAGTTCTATGTCTTTAGATTGTTTTGGAAAAAGAACCACTTGGATTCAAGTTTTCTACCAAAAGTTATATTCAAAATAAAATCGCTGCTCATATAGAGTTACCCATTTTCTGGCAACTTGATTTTTTATTTCTCCAATTGTCCGTCTTTGAGTCGTTCTACACGTTTTTTAGCCGAACCATAATTTTAACCCCGTGACCACTATTTTGAGTATTATTTCTAATCCCCTGAGAGTTCCAAAGTCCACAAAATTCCACGAATTACTTAGTCGATAATGTTCGACTAAGTATGATTTCTCGTAATTATTTCTAAGTGTCAAGGTAGTGTATTTATGAAACTATTTTGATAAAAATGTAGGTGTCTGGCGAGTCGAGCTCTCAACCTACACTGCTTTGCAAGTATTTTTCTGCTGAATTATCCAGGTGGGTTTACTTATAAAATTATCTAAGCATATGTGTTGTTAAATGTTTAGTTTGTATGACCAATGTATGAATGTGAACCATGTGGCCTACCGATGTGATTTGTTACGGCCGTCGAGACGGTTGTCCCTGTCGAGTTACGGTACGGTTGCCCTTGCGAGGCAAGTCTCCTTAAGACCTAATGAAAGGCCGTGTCCGTTACAGTGGCACGCACTCCCGTCGTTAGGGTTTATGCATCCCCTTTCCGCAGCTAATGATAGATGTGCACATGAGTGAGTTATTGTTGTGATTGTTATGAGATGAGACATGATGATGATTGATTTATATTCATGCTACGACCATATCATCTTAACATGTTATTATGTGCATAGTGGTGAGCACTACTGTATCATTTGTGCTCACTCCCACCTACTCTTCATGGATTCAGGTTAAGCAGTCGGCGGGTGACGAGACAAGACGAGTGGGTGGTCTTTATTTATTGCGTTTAGCTTCCGTTTATTATGATTATTGAGACATGTTGAACAATTTTCAAACTTATGCTTTGAATTTGTGAAATTTGAGATGTTTGGATGTTTTTGGAAATTCTTGAGTACTTACTGAAATGAATATTCTGCCTTTATTGATTATTCATGCTATTTTGTGCCAGATGGGTATTCTTGATATGTTATGAAGCGGTTAATGAAAACCACATGTGAAAATCGGGTTTATGAATCCCCGGGGGTCCAGATAAAACTTGGACTGAGTAAATTGTTGTTTAATGCCCATAAATTTCGAAAATGATTTCGAAAAATGTTTGCTTGATTTTTGGAAAGCCCGGGATTTCTTTAAAATCAAAGTGGGGTGTTACAAGGACCTTCTCTAGTGAGCAACGAGCGTCCAACAAGCCACCATTGTCGAGTTGGTGTGCCGGAGGTTCACCGTTTGCCACCACGTGCAAGAAACCTTGAGCAGCAGCAGAACATCGTTGACATTTGAGAAGATCACAATAGCGAGAACCGAGAGCAAACAACCCCTAGCCGTGAGCTATAGCCGAGCGGATGATAGCCGAGGGTCAACCCGCGCGATCGAGCAGCAGGTCCCTCCTTTGACCGTCGATGTGCAACACTTCGTCGGCTTCTAATTGAATCCAATAGCTAGTCGGGATGGCCCGAGAGCACCCAGACGATCTATTTTTATGAGCGGCAACCTCGCCGGAAGGTGTCCTGTACCTCGTGCATTTGAACAGATTCAAGGGGCCGAGGCCGAGCTTTGCATCCGAGGCCCGTTAGCGAGGAACATCAGCCTGTGAACCGTTCACGCAGGTCCTCTCCTCGTTGCAACCATAGTCGTTTCATCGTCGAGAAGGATCGTGTTCGAAAGGATTCGAGCTTTCAAAGTTTTGTTCATTTCTCCGTTGCCAACCGAACCATAGATTCCCGACGGAAGGTAATCAGTCGAACCTCATATTTATTTTGTTAGTGCTGGTATTCAAATTCGTTGGAATTAATTCGCTTCCGGCAAACTAGGATCCATTGTTTCTAGTTGGATTAATATTGGTTCGTTTTGTTTGTGTTGACCTTCGTAGAGCTAAATACGTGGATATTGGAAATCACTCATTGTGTTATTGAGCCCTCTTCTTTGTTTGTGTTTGTTGTTGATTTCGGTCGAATATTAGAGTCTCTTTTTTGTTAACCGAGCCGTTTGATAATCGTTTAAGAATTGAGTTTGAAAACCCCATTTTGAAAACTTTCGTTGATTGTTGTTTGGCTACAGACTGTTCGCGCTAAGACAGACCTCTGGCTAGCTGAAGGCCTCGTAAAGCCCCTATGGGACTGTGGAAATGCAAATGAGGTTTGGTGCTGTTTTGACCTCTGAAACTCTGTTACACGTTTTCAAACTCTTCTAGTGATTTGTAGTTTCGTCGATTATGTTTCATCTCCAACAAGAATCGAGTGAATATCAATTTTGTGCTGAAAGTTATGGCCAAAGTTTGTCTGTTGCGCGTCCAGTTTTTCTGGTTTTCCGGTCTTGTATGTGCTCGGTTTTCATGGCTGTTTTTGAGCACTGAAACCTCGACGTCTCTTTTTGAGGTCTGTTTGTAAAATGTAGTTCAATCCGTTATCTTTTTTTAGGAAGAAGAATCGAGTATTTATCATTTTTATATTGAAAATTTTGTCGAAAATCCTATCATTGCGTAGTCAGTTTTTCGTTTGAATCACTGAAGTATGAGTCTGTCATTTATACTGTTTTTTTGGCCTACTTCGGGTGACCTGGGAAACTTGATGTCTTCATATGAGTTGTCGTGTTATCTCTTAGGTTTCAAATGACACAAGATTCATTCAAATATCATTTTTATACAAAAAGATACGTTCGAAATACAATTGTCGTGCAACCAGTTTTTCTAAAGAAAATGACAGCAGGTTTGTTTTGTAAATTTGAGTTGTTTTCAGCCCTTTAACTTGCTCGAATGTGCTAGATGTCTTCATAAAAGTTTTAGTTCTATGTCTTTATATTGTTATGGAAAAAGAACCACTTGGATTCGAGTTTTCTACCAAAAGTAATATTCAAAATAAAATCGCTGAGCATATAGAGTTACCCATTTTCCGACAATTTGATTTTTATGTTTCCAATTGTCTGTCTTTGAGCCGTTCAACACGTTTTCGAGACGAACCGTAATTTTACACTCGTGACCACTATTTCGAGTATTATTTCCAATCCCCTGAGAGTTCCAAAGTCCACAAATTTCCACGAATTACTTAGTCGATAATGTTCGACTAAGTATGATTTCTCGTAATTATTTCTAAGTGTCAAGGTAGTGTATTTATGAAACTATCTTGATAAAATGTAGGTGTCTGGCAAGCTGAGCTCTCAACCTACACTGCTTTGCAAGCATTTTTCTGCTAGATTATCCAGGTGGGTTTACTTATAAAATTTGCTATATCGTATATGTTTACGTTTTTGTTGGGTTGGTATGATCTAAGTATGCATGTCAACCATGTAGCCTATCGGCGTGAGCCGGTTCAGCCGTCGGTACGGTTGTCCCCGTCAATGTAATACGGTTACACTTGCGAGGTAAGTCTCCCTAAGACCTAATGAAAGGCTGTGTCGGTAGCGTGGCACGTACCCCCACCGTTAGGGTTATAAATCCCCTTTCCGTGGCTAATGAAAGATGTGTACACAGGGGTAGTATGTTATGTTGTTATGTGATATGGAGATGTTACAACATAGTTGATTTATGTTCATATTGCGACCATACCTTCTTTACATTGTTATTATATTGATATACGTGCATAGTGGTGAGCACTACGGTTTCATTTGTGCTCACTTCCACGTGCTCTTCATGGATGCAGGTTAAGCAGTTGTCGGGTGACGAGTCAAGACGAGTGGGTGGTCTTTTATTTATCTCATTTGCTTCCGCATTTTATGAACTATGTTTAAGACTATGAGTCATGTTGAACGATTTTGCAAACGTATGTTTTGAATTGTTGAATTTGGGATATACTAGTGAACTTATGATGGTTTGGATATTCATGAGTACTGATTGAATTGAATATCATGTCGTTTTCGATTATTCATGTTGTTATGTGTAAGCAGAATATCATGTGGTATGTTGTGTTTCAGGTTAATGAAAACCTTGTGAAAAACCTGGTAATGAATCCCCGTGGGTCCAGATAAGACTTGGACTAGGTAAATGTTTTGAATAATGCCCATGTTTTCTAAAATGAGTTCGAAAAATATTTTATTGATTTTGAAAAGTCCAAAATTTCTTTAAAATCAAAGTGGGCGTTACAGTCTAGTATCAGCGTCAATCTGCGTTTCTGTAGACTGTTCTATATGTGAATTACAAGTTTATGTGACTATTTAAATTGACCTTGTATTCTGACCACTCGTCTTCGTCACGCCGCACTGCTTAAGGTATGTTATTTTATAAGTATCAATGAAAATACTTATAGTATGAATTGTGAATTTGTTCATAATTGTCAATGAAACTACTTGTGATATATATGTTATTTTTGGGGCTTAGGAAAATTTATCCACCTTAGGTTATGTGAACTCTAGTGTTTAACGTTGAACTCTAGTGATATAGAGTTAAGTTCAAACTCTAGAGGTTCCTCGTTGTGAGTTTCAGTATGTTGTTGTCGAGTTGAGTTCTCCCCATAGCTGTTTCCGTTTCTATATAATTCTAATCAATGTCTCCGAGTGAGGACCCAGTCAATGAGGATCGAAATGTATTTGTTTTTCTTCAGACCCTT